CTCTGCCTGTAGCCACCTGCCCCCCTTTGTTCCCCCCTGCTCCAGCCACCTCTCTCTCTGCCAGAGACAGCTAAAAGCCCAGCAGCAGAGGGGACCGGCATCCCAGGAGCTCACAGCCTTGAAGACAGAGAACGGTGAGAAGAAAATGTGTTTCCCTCCGCCCGCTGTGCTTTCTCAGTGTGATATTAAGAAAGCAGTAGGACAGACCCCAGGGCGGCCAGCCTGTGCCGGGGCCAGGGAGTATGGGCATGATGGCTGCAGCCTCCACATGGTGCTGGTGCAGGTGGACAGCCATGATGGCATCCCAGAGACAACGGCATCCCAGCCTATCAGGCAGACAGGTTGTCCCCAGGGCAGGAAACCTAATGAGCCGTGTCCTCTCTGAGCCTGCTAGAGCCATCCCAATTAGTGCTAATTTGCACCAGTGAGATAGGGGGGAGGTATTTGTCCAGTGGGAAGAGGACAGGGGCTGAACCCAGGCCACCACGCTGGCAGGTCGGCTGCCCAGGACATCCAAGCAGCCTGGTTAGCAGGATGCGGCCGGCACCATTTCAGCCGCGTTTGCGTTGCAGCCAATGCCGCCCTGTTGCCTGAGGACAAGAAGGAGAAGGCAGTACTGCGAGAGGAGCGGACGGAGAGCACGAGACTCCTCCAAAGCCAGGAGAAGGAGGAGGAGCAGCTGCGGGATGCCAGCCGGGCAGGGACTGCGAGAATCGCCCAGGACGTTAACAACCAGGTCAGTCGAAAAGGCAGGTGCCGCTGGGGGCAGCGGCTGGGCAGGGAGCGTGTGGCCAGCGATGACTTCCCAGGCAGCGATCACGGACCTGGCACACGCTGGGCTGAGGTCTCCCATTTTCGGGAGAAGGAAGGGGTTAGGAAGGGGTTAGGAAGCCCAGAGTGGTGCGGGTCTGGCAATGAGTCACGGGGAGCGGGGAGGGCCAGAGCATCCCTTACGCCGGGTCAGACAAGTAGGGTTTGTCATATCCCTGCTTCCCAGGTGGAAAAGGGAAAAGACCCGGAGCTGGAGGAGCAGTTCAATGCCCTGAGGAGGGAGCACACAGAGACCCTGCAAGGTGCGTACCAGGACAGCAGGGCTCCCCGCAGCCACCCTGCCACCCACCCCCCCCCTACTGCTGGTGTCCCTCTGGCTTCATGTGGGGTCATGGGGATGCTGCCCCCCTGCTCCACGACACTGTGGGGCTCAGGTGGGACTCGCTGCCCCAGCGTCCCGCACCGGTGATGCTCAGTTCACGTCCCCCATGCAGAGCTCCAGAGAGTGCATGAGCAGGAGAAGCTGCTGCTGGCAGAGTCCCACCACAGGTCCCAGGCGGCCTTACAGGTACCCGTGGAGAAATACCTGGGGAGAGGGTGCTCATGAAGGGCTTGAGGACCGTCTGCTGGCTCTGCCATGGTGCCCCGAGCTCCTTAGCGGCCACCTTGGTCCCTGGTGTGCCCAGGGACCACGCAGGCTCCTCCAGCCCTGGGGTTATCGGGGTACCGGAGCCCAGCAGTGCCCCTGCTCAGGAAGAAATCCCAGACATCTCCCATCCTGCTTCTTCCCTGGCTGCCCTAGGAGAAGATCCAGGTGCTGAATTCCCAGCTGAAGTCCTTCCAGGAGAGGATGAAGCGGGTAGAGGAGTCGCTCTTGAGCACAGACTACAAGAAGCACATCCAGGTACAGGGAGATGTGGGAGCGGTGGCCTCTGCAGAGGGGTGTCAGGGAGGGCACCTGCTCCGGGGTGCTGGCCCAAAGCCAGCAGTGCTTCTCTGATGCACCCTGGGGGGGGGGGGGCGGACAGCTGAAGGGGGGAGCAAAGCCCCATCCCTGGGAGGTGCGTGGGCTGTTAGGGTCCCTTGAACACAAGCGATGGGTGAAACGTGGTGCCTTGTGGGTACAAACCCATCCTGGGGCCTTGCAGGGCCCCGGCTAAGAGCACTGGCCCGCTGGGGTCATGCGTGGGGGGGTGAACCATGGCAGATGCCACGAGTGCCCACCCCGCTGCAGCTGCCACATCCCCTGTGCCCCGCAGGAGCATGGGAGCCCCAGCCCCTTCTGGGAGCAGGAGCTGGAGAGCCTGCACTTCGTCATTGAGATGAAGAACGAGCAGATCCATGGCCTGGATAAGAAGCTGCTGAACTTGGAGACTGTGGTGGGTTCAAAGGGAGGGTTGCAGGTGGGCTTTCCTCTTTCCATCTCTTCTCCCCACCTGAATCCCATCCAGAAATTGCAGCTGAAGTGGAGCTGGATGGAGCCTGGTTCCCCCCTCAGAGTGGGGAAGGGACATGGGTGCAATGCCACCATGCTCCCACCGAGCCAGCTTTCCCCCAGACGGGGCAGAGGGAACATCAGAGGCGTTTTCCAACTCCCTCCTCACCCTCGTGCCCCCTTTCCAGGCGGAGAGGAACCTTCTGCTGGAGGAGAAGGTGAAGACCCTCCAGCAGGAGAACGAGGACCTGCAGGTTCGCACCCAGAACCACTTGGTCATGGCGAGGTAAGTGGTGGTCCCACACATCCACTGGCTTCCCGGTGCACAGTGGCAGGATGACAGCAGTTGCAGGTGGCATCTCCAATGGGGGGAGAGGTGGCAGCAGGCGGGGGGGGGAATACATCACAGCCTGCGGTGCCACCGGGTGCTTTCCGGGGAGTGGAGGGGGCTCATGGGTGCTTTGCCTGGCGGCTCCAGCAGTGCATGCCGTTTTCCTGCAGGCAGCTGTCGGAGGAGCTCCTGGCCGCCCGTGGGGCACTGGAGAAGGAGGCGCAGCTGCGGGAGCAGGCTCACCACGAGAAGGAGGAGCTGCTGTACCGCGTGCTCAACGGCGGGGACGGCTCCCCATTCCCCATCGCTGCCAGCGAGGTGCCCCTCATCGCTACGTAGCACGCCGCCGACCGGCACCGCACACTGCCGGGGGGGGGGGGCGGCTGGGCGTTCAGCCAATAGCGTACTGTCATCTATTTTAATAACCTGGAAAGGCAATTGCTTTTAAATCCTCTCCTGGAAAGAATATCAGCACAAAAATATGTGACACTTGAGAGAGATTTGAGGAAATTGTTGTGTATTTTGGTTCTTTTTTAACTGATGGGACTGGAAGGAGCTGGCCTTGTGCGTTTGGAGCACCTGGAAAATTACAGCTGGCCTGTAACTTGTTGTGTTAAATAAAATTGAATGGCAAATTAAAATAGCAGTCAGCGAGATGTTGGTTTGGACTGAATTCTGCCAGGAGATGTTTGCGTGCCTTGAATGTGAGCTTGCAGTGTTAGCCCTCTCCCATTCCTGCCAGCGGGAATGCTCTCAGGGAAATGTACAGAAACCCTTAGGGGAGGGAAGGTGCCGCACAGAACGGGCCGCACAGCTCCAGCCACACACGCTGCTTGAATGCCACGGAGGGTATGAAGGGAAGCGATAGCTGTTATCTCTTACTTGGCTATTCAAACTGCAGGGAGGGACCTGAGTTTCATTTACAGAGTGAGCTGGAACAGCCTTGCTCTTGGCTGGCAGTGGGTGGAGCAAGGAGATGAATTCCCAGTTTTAGCCCTCTTTTCTGCATGCCATTACGTTCCTGAGCGCACCCAAATTGCCACGACCAATCTCCGTTACCCAGCAAATCTGCAGGCACGGACTCTCTTCTCCCACATACTGCTGTTTCCAGACGTGGTCACTGTGCTGTAGTCCAGTGAATGGTTCCTCGTGTTGTCTCTGTGTTGTGGGGGCCCAAAGGAAGCTCTTGCCTTTTAGACAACACAGGAGTTGCTTCCTTCAGCTGTTAACTTTCTGGCACAGAGCTGATAGTAGTGTCTGCCAGCTCTTCTGCATGTGCTGAGCACAGCCCGGGTACTCGTCGGTCCAGGCAGGGCGAGGTGGTTACGTGCCTTCCCTTCCCTCGGTGACGCCCCCATGACTTCTGTCTCCCATTTCCATATGATGAGTCTGAACGTAATTAAGTAAAAGGGTCCAACCAGTTGGAGCTGAACAGAACCTTAGAGTCTTGAGCCAGAGAGACTGGGGTTGTACCTCGGCTTCCTCTATTCTGTATTTGCTGAGGGAGCCACGAATGCAGTACAGAAACCTCTGACAGCCCCTTCGCAATGCTATTGGATTAAGAGGAATCCCCGAGTTTGGAAGAGGGAAGACGTGATGTTTGTCTTTGGGGAAGAAAAATCAGAGAACTGCACAGAGATGTTTCAGTGTCCAAAATTGGTGTGAGAAATAAATGTTTTATAAGCATGTTGGATTAGAGTGAAATAGTGATAAGTACCAGGGCTGGAAGTACTGACAACTGCTGTTAAACCAGATGGATTTATTAATCTCTGTGATAAATTCAGCTAATTAAAAACAGGAATTGGAGGGGAGAGCAGAATCCTACTGAGCTCTTTGTTTTACTTTCCCTTTCCAACCTCTGAAAACAAAATGGGATAGTTCAGAGCACCCAAGATAATGAAGGCATGCCTGTGTATGGCCCACCACAGAGCCCAGCAGGGTTTTGTTCTTGCTCCGCAGGAGTGTGAGATGAACCAACCTAATGACAAGACAAGAAAAGTTTTAAATTGCAAGAGGAGATGAAAATAGAACAGGTGGTGGTTTAGAAATTATAAATGGACTAAAATTCAGCTTGTGGTAGTTCTATGCTTGTGCTGTTTTCAAGGTTTAACCAGGACTGCTGCTCTTCTTTTTGCAGTGGTGGTTGAGGTGACGGGTCATGCCCATGTTCTTCTGGCTGCATTTGAAAAGGTAAATGGGTTATTTTTTCCCCTCTGTCCCTGTCCTTGTATATGTAAACATTTCCATGGGTCATTAGTTTGTATTTATATAACACTTACCACAGTGGAGTCCTGGCCCATGACTGGAGTTCCCGAGTGCTATTGTAGTACAAATAATTGCTTGCAGCAGCTTTGCTTGCAGCCTATAATTATCATTTGTACCAGAACTGGTCACTCGGCTAATTGTAGCTGGTGTTTCCTGTGTGTGGGGAGAGGGTGTGCCTCAGTGGCTGGGGGGGCACACTGCCGGGGGGGGGGGGGGTGGGCGGGGTCCGGTTGTGGGAGCCCAGGACTGCTCTCACAAGTGCCCCCGCTGCCAGGGCAGGCCCTCGGGGCAGCCGAGCCCTCAGGGTGGCCCCGTCCGACCAGGGCAATGGAGTATTTCACAGGACACTTGCGCCTGCCTCTCCCCAGCCCGTGCGGGGCTGCAGGGGGTCCCCGGCCACCCCCCTGTGCCATCCCTGCACCCCTTCCTCTGGTGGGAGGCTGTGGGGGCCTTTCTGGAGGTAAAAGGGGTCAGCCAGGACATGCAGATGTGCATTGGGCTGGATCCGACCCGGCACTTGACTCTGAGCATAACCAGCATCAGTGCTGCCCGGGGGCACGGAGCTGAGGAAGATGAGGCGGTCACTGGAACGGTACAGGGATGAGCACCGGGAGGACGAGGGGGGCACTGGGGACATGGTGGTGTTAAGGTACCTCAGTCCCTGGGGAGCATCGCTGAGAAGTGCGTGGCCAAGCCCAGGGCTGAGCCACAGAGGCTTTCACGGGGCGGCAGCAGAGGGCAGGAGGGATGGGTGCAGCCAGGTATATCTACCATCTCCAGCGCTGCCCTTGCCATAGACCATGTCAACCTGTCCCGTTTTGGGGCTCGGCCTCCTGCCCAGGCTGCTCCAAGCCGATGCCACCCACTCCTGCCGTTTCCAGTGAAAGCAGGGCTTCTCCTGCCCAGGACCTGCCTCACCCTGGGGAGGGAGGCCAGGCAGGAATCCCACCCGTGCCCTCCTCTCCCCATCGCCTCCTCCATCTTCAGCAAACAGCTCCCAGGGATTGCTCCCGTGACCCAGATGTGCCCCCGCTGACTGCCACACAGATGCCAAGCCCGCTTTGTCCCCGCTGCCCATCAGCAGCACCACCAGCCCCATCTTCTCCCCCAAAGCTGGGCAGAGGCTGCATGCCCGGAGGTGCACATTTGGGGAGCAGAGCATCCTCCTGAGGGGGAGCAGGCTTCAGCGGCGGCTGCCAGCAGGTCACATCCCTCCCTGCTCCGAGCCAGCACATCCCCATCGAGGAAGACGCTGCCAGCATGGCTGCAAGGCCGCGGCTCGATGCATGCAAGCACTTTCCACTGGGCACACGAGTGGTGGGACGGTCACTGGTCCGGGGGCTGTCACTGGCCTGTCCCCTCCCTGGGGCTATTTAGCCGGGGGGGAGTGTGCGTGCGTGTGTGTATGTGTGTGCACCATGCTACTGGCTGTAACAATTACAAGTCTGTAAGAAGTGGCAGCCTCAAGAGTCCCATGTCAGTGGTTTTGGGGACTGGTGCGGGAGCATCTCACAGCGGGGCCACGTGCTCCGCACCTAGGGCAGGGGGGGAACGGGGAGGGGTGGGAGCAGGCACCACAAAGCCACAACAAGGGAGCCCCAGAGGAGGCCCCTGCTGCCGGTCTCCCTTTTCCTGCTCCTTCCCTTGTTTCATTCATTTCAATGGGCTCCCAGCACAGGGCAGACCCCGACCCTCCCAGCCCTGCCAAGCCAGCAGGGCCACTGCAACAGCCGCATCCGTCCTTTGTGCCAATCCTTACCAGGAAAATATTGGCTGAACAAGGCAGCCAGGAAGGCAACACAGATGCGGGGTCTGGCTCTCACCTGAGCACCTCCACGGGGTGCCCAGACTTGGAGACATGGGGGTGCCTGTTGTGTAAGAGCAGCGTACCCCCACTGCTCCATGCATCCCCACGGCTCTGGGGACGGGTGGTGGGGCAGCCTCCAGCTTTGCACAGCAACCTCAGGGATGTGGGGGGACGCACCAGGTGCTGTAGCAGCAAAGCAGGGGAAACGGGGCAGATTGCTGCCCCAGCAAATCCTGCCTAGCTGTGGTTGAAGGAGGCAGGATCTCTGGGCAAAGGGAGATGAGGCTGGTGGGGTCTGGCATCTTCCTCTGGGCACCTGGTACCATGTCCCACTGCCCCGAAGGCAGATCCTGCATGCGACCTGGAGGAACGTGCCTGGCTCTGGGATGGAGGAGTGCTGGGAACTGAGGAAGAGGAATAAATGAGTGCAGAAAAGGACTTGCCCACACTAAGGAGGAAAAAGCCCAGCCCAGGCAGTGCCTTGGCAGTCATGGGGGGACAGGCACGTCAGCCCTGCCTGCCTCAGGGTGCCAAGGCAACGTGGAGGGTCAGGGCAGCATGAGAAGCCTCCACTCCACTCCGCTGTAAGCAGCTGAGGGACCAGGGTGGGTGAGGGGACAGGGGAAGTTGAGGGGCTGCAGGGAGAGGTTTCAAAGGCAAAAAACCCACCAAAACCACAACCCAATAACAACAGCAAAAACACTTGTCTGCTTTATCCTCTCCAAACAAAACTCCTTCAGCAGGGGGCTTGACGTGAGGATTCAGGTTGCTCAGGGAGGTTCACCAGACTCAGGAGAAAACAGCTCCTGTGGCTTGTGGCAGGGCTGTGCCCCCCTGCGGGATGGGACCTTCAGCCCAAGGGGCCTCTTTGCCCCCTAGGCACAGGGTGGAGGGAGCCAGGCACTCAGGGACCAGCCCATCTCCTTTTATTGCCCTGGAGGAGATGGGCACCGTGCTGTCCCGCAAGGCTTCGGGGCCACCCCCCTGGCCGTGCTTCCCGGTGGCTCCCGGGGAGCTGCCCCTTTGGGCCGGCGGCTCTCGGCGCTATGCCGGATCCCGTAGCCAAAATAAATGAGGAAACCTGGGTATGGGCAGAATAGGGGGGGGGGGGGGGGGGGTGTCTCTCTCTTCCCTTCCCTCCCAACTACAAATGCTCACCCCTTCCCGTTCCTTTGGGCCACTTGTCAGAAGACAGGGTGCTCCCGCCACCCTTTGACATTAAAGTTCAGCACCCCTCCTCCATCCGCCCACCACTGCTCTGCAGCCAGCATTAATGCCACGGGCTCTCAAACCAACAATGCTTCACTCAAGGAGGTTGCTGCCAGCTCCGGGACCTCGAGGGCAGCCGGGCTTACCAATGGCCATCCAGAGCAGGTACCGCAGCCAGGCGGCCGCGCTGAGCCAGGCCATCAGGATGCTGTTGATGGTGATGCTGAGGAGCGGCAGGAAGGGCAGGCAGGGAACCTGCAGGGACCAAGCACAAGGGAATGGGGTCATGCCTTTGCCCGGAGGCACTGGCTGGCCCACAGGCAGGAGTTTCACAGCCAAATTCAGCTCTTTGCTGCTTTGGCTAGTTGCCGACAGGCAAGTGGAAGCCCAGCCTGGCTGTCAGGCTCGGAGACCTGATCTGGGACTGCAGCCTGTGCTGGAGGGGGATGCTCGTGGAGGGTGGTTTGGTTGACAGGTCCTGCAGTGGGGCAGGAGGTACTGCAGGATTTGAGGGGGGCAGTAAACCGCTAGCAAAACCAAGCCATGGTGTCAAGACCAGGTATCTTTTTACTGAAGAGCAGCTCTGATTTGTGCAGCAGGCACTGGGCTCAGTTGGGGCTGCAGGAGGTGGCCCCTTGGCCTGCGAGACATGGGGGGAAGAACCAGGCAGCCCTCATGGTCCCTACGGAAAACCCCATGAGCTGCCCGATGCCTCCAACAGCACTTTGTTCAACATGGATGCAGCAAAGGTCTGCCTGACCTAAAGCAGAGGGAACACCTCCCAGTGCAACGTAACCCTTTCTCCAAGGGGCTGCAGCACTTGTCTCCTCTCCGTCCCCGAGGTCCTTCTCCCTGGAGACGGTCCCCGAGGGCTGGGCTGTGTGCTCACCATGAAGGATGCTCTCTCCCGGCTCTGAGGCTGCCTCCAGACGAGCAGAGCTGCCGCCAGGATCCCCAGGAGAGGCAGAGCCAGAGCGGCGATGCACCAGGCACCCCCGGCCCGGAGGCAAGGCAGCCCGGCGGTGCTCACCCAGCTCACAGCGCAGACCAGGGCGGCTGCAGAGGGACCACGGCAGGGCGTCAGGGCAGCACTTTCCTGGGCTGAGCCTGTCCCTCTCCTGGGGTGCAGCACCCAAGGCTGCCATGGCGGGAGGGACAAAGGACAACCAGGGGACAGGGCTGGGTGGCTTGTCATGGTGGGTTTAGCTTTTCTCTCCAGCCAGCCTGGGAAGCAGAGGGAGTGGGAGGTTTTCCAAGGCTGGGGCAGCCAGCTGTGCGGCAGTCAGGAGAGGGCAGGAGGGAGCCAGGCAGGCCCTGCCTGCATCCCACTGCCAAGTGGTTTTCAGCCAGCAGGAAGCTGCCAGCCTGTGCTACAGCAGCGATGTCCCCCGTGGGTCCCCCCACGCCAGCTCCCCGTAAAGCCCATCCATCACTCCCGGGCATACCTACGGCTGTCAGAGCCCAGGCCACCGTGGCAGAGGAACACGGGGTGGGACGTGGGGGCGGACAGACGAGATCGTCCCACCAGAGCTGCACAGCTGGAACCTTCCCTGCAGGAGTGTCCTGAGCGCTGGGTTCAGGCCGATACCTGAGGAGCAGATATTGGACATCAAGGTACGTGAGCGTGCACCTGCGGTGCACCAAGGCCAGTGCCTTGCCCCAGGCATGGCCAACACCAGAAGTTGGGTGGGCCCCATCCCCTGTCCCCAGCAGCCTCACCTGAGCAGCAACACACAGCCAGCCACCAGCGAGTAGGCCAGCAGCGTGCCAATGGACATCATGTCAACCAGGGCTTTCAGGTCAAAGAGGAGGGCCAGGAGAGCTGCAGGGACAAGAAGCCCTTTAAGCCTCCCGGCAGAGCTGGCAACACTGCTGCTGTGCCCATCTCAGCCATGCTCTCCCTCTGCCCCCTGGGTCCCCCTGAGAGCCGCTGCAACAGGACTCAAGCACTTCGATGAGCTAGTGATGCTTCGGTCACTGATGCAAAGCATCCTGCCACCTCAGAGGGGCTGAACTGGGACAGCATCATGGCCAAATAGTCTCTTGCCCACAGAGAGGAGACCTCCCTTTGCATGGGGAGATATTGCTCAGCTACTGGCAAGCTAGGGGGTTTGTGTTGTCCTGCTGAAAGAGGACATCCACCAAGCCCTGCTCAAGATTAAGGGGTAACTCAATTGCTCACCCACCTGCCACTCCTCCAGACACCAGTGTTGCCACAACTGGGCACTGACGGCGACTAACTTTGGCCAGAGGTTTGAAGAGGAGCCCGTCTCGAGCCATAGCATACAGGATCCGTGGCATGGGGAACATAGAGCCCAGGAGGCTGCAGAGAGGGAAGGAGATGGGAGAGAAGAGGGCAGGAATCCAGGAGGTGCCATCCTGCCTTTTGCTCCTCCTTGGGTGCCAAGGGAGCTCCTGTTCATCTGTACAGTCCACGACCTTCTCAAGACCAGGCTGACAAGACCAGCACCTCCCTCACCATCAGATGCGGGACGGTGTCAGGGAAGTGATGTCCACAAGTCACCAGGAGTCCTGTGCACGCCGAGACACCCCAGCCTGCTCCTGCGGTCACGGTGCCACCAAACACCTGACCACTTCCTCCAACTTTGGGCTAGAAGTGGCATGCCAAGGGGTTTGGTTGCTGTCCTTGATCAGGAGGGGCCAGGGTGGGAGCAACAGGGTTTGTGAGGAAGGTCTGAGGGACTTTGGCCAAGCAGGGCAGTCAGAAGGAAGGGGTTGGGGATAGCGCCTGGATGTGTTATAGCTCCAGTGCAACCTTGCTCTGAGCCACAGAGCTGCCATCAGACGACTCCCCTCACCTGGTCGTCAGGGCGCACAGTGACCCCACAGCCACAGCGTGCTTTGCACTGCTCCAGCCAACGTATTCAAAAGCCGCTGGGAGTGGGCTCATGGGGTCTAGCAGGTTGACTCCCCTCACCTGGTCGTCAGGGCACACAGTGACCCCACAGCCACAGCATGCTTTGCACTGCTCCAGCCAATGTATTCAAAAGCCACTGGGAGTGGGCTCATGGGGTCTAGCAGGTAGTAGGGCATCATCAGTGTGAGGGCGGCAGACACCCCGAAGTACGCCAGGAAGCAGACGAGGAGGGAGAGGATGATGCCCATGGGGATGGATCTCTGTGGGTCCCTCACTTCTTCCCCTGGGGAGGACAAGCTCAGCTGTAAAAACAGATGCTCCTTTAACGTGCATGGCATGCGAAGAGCCCAGCTCAGGCTGGAGAGCATATCCCATATCCCCCCCACAAGAGGGGAAACAGAGGCCTTCTAGCAAGGACCACTAGACCTCCTGGGCTCCGGGGTTATGGGGATAGGGACTGTCTCTGCTTCAGGATTAGCCCAGTCATACCACATGGACTCTTATAGTTCCTCCTCTGAGCACGGAGGGCAGGAGAGAGCGGCTGCAGCACAGAGCCAGGCATGTGCCCATTCCCAGCCCAGCCCTACACCAGCTCCTGGGGCTGCGGGGAGAATCACTGCCACAGCCCCCCAGCCTGCAGGGGAGGGTCCCACTGGCATCTCTCCCCGCCTCACTTACCCGTGGTAGCGATGCAGTCAAATCCAACAAAGGCATAGAAACAGGTAGAGGCTCCAGCCAAGGTCCCAGTGAAACCATAGGGCATGAAGCCTCCCACCCCAAAGGCACCGGTCATGTTGTCAGCCACAGACTGGTTCCTGGGAGGAGGAGGAAGAGTCAGGCAGTGCAGAGGGATCAGTGCAATGGGATCCCAGGATGGAGCCAGGCTGAACAGCCCATCCAACCTGCTCACCCCTCCAGCATCAACCCAGCAGGGCTTAGGACTTCGGCTCTTTGACGCATTGCCAACAGGGCAGGGAGAAATGCGAGAAAGCGAGATTTCCTGGGATAAAGCACTAGGGGGATGGCCCAGCCATCCCCATCGCCCTCTGATGGGGGGCGAGCGGCACCCCTCATACCCAGCCTCATGGGCAGCTGCCCATGGCAGGTCATCCTCCCCGAGCTTCCAGTTGCGCAGGTCGCCTTTGATGAAGCCGCTCACTGTGACAAAGAGCAGGACAAGCACGTTGAGAGCTGTGAAGGCTTTGTTGACCGTGGTGGACTCCTTCACTCCAAAGGAAAGAAGCCCTGGGGACGAAAAGAGCAAAATGGCCAAGCCCCCTGGATGACACCAGGCCCAGGGTAGACATTACTAGGGAGGGTGGAAAAGGGGGGACAATAGTAGAATCAGGAGAATCTGCAGATTTCCCCAGATTCCTCTTGTATTCCCCATTCTTTGCTTAGGGAAATGGCAAAGCCTCAGAGGGGTCAGCACCATCCTGAAGAGCCCATGGTGGGGTGAGGAGCTCATCCTATGTGATGGAGGGTGGCACAGGGGGAGGCATCCTACCTGCCAGCAGAACCACCAGGCCAGCGGCAAAGGCATCTGGGTGCTCTGCCAGACCCACAGAGCTCATGGCTGCGTGAGCACCCAAAAACCTCCCCATCTTCTTGCCAAGGAGCTGGTCAAAGGTAGCACTCCAGGCCCGAGCAACACTGGCGGTACCTGGGGAGAGGTGGCAGCTGGGGCAGCGATGGTGGTCCCGTGCCCCATGGGGGTCTGGGAATGATACCAGCAAAGCCACCGATGCAAAGCAAAGGTGGAGGGATCAAAAGGGCCTTATACCGATGACATAGGACAGCAGCAGATTCCACCCAGCGAGGAACGCCCACAGCTCGCCCACTGTCACATAGCTGTAGAGATAGGCCGACCCGGCCAGGGGCACGCGGGCCCCAAATTCAGCGTAGCACAGCCCTGCCAGAGCAGACACCACAGCTGCAATCAGGAAAGAAAGGATGATGCTCGGGCCGGAGCTGGTCTTAGCCACTTCCCCTGCCAGGACGTAGACGCCAGCCCCCAGTGTGCTGCCCACTCCCAAGGCAACAAGGTCCACGGTGGAGAGGCAGCGACAAAGGCTGGAGCCCTCCGAGCCAGCCAGGACTCGCTTTCTGCGGGAAAGCATCTTCGAAACAGAGAGCAGGCAGCCCCAGCACAGCATCTGCGGGAGAGGAAAGCAGCAGGAGTGAGGGTGCTGCTGCCCCACAGGCACCGCCCTGGGGATGTGACCCAAACCCAGCCTGAAGGTTTTCCTTGCAGCTCCCACTGTCCACACAGTGCTTTCTGGACTCCCTGGGTGCTGCCAGAAAAGCAGCCCATTTTGGAGGAAGATGGGGCTAAAGTGGCTGCATTGCTCTCATCCCCAGTGAGAAGTGGAACAATGCATGATTGGGGTTTGCTGGGCTCTGATTCGTGCTATGGTGAGAGGGGACAAGGACACCTGCTTGTCCCCCTGCCAGCTCAGAAAGTCCTATTGCTCCAGCAGCAACCCCAGCAGGGATGCACAGCCAGCATTCTCCCAGCCTTGACACTGACACTATTTGAAATGCAGAAACCGGGCCAGAGAAGGAGGGATGGGAGATGCTCTGCTCCTGGAGCAGCCATTGGCCTTAAAGTGCACCAGGAAGGACCCACCTGCTCAGCTGAAGATGCTCCCACAGCACCCATAACTGTGGGTCACTGGCACAACTCAGACAGAGACTGGGTCCCCTGGGCCATCGGCCTGTACAGTAATGCTGTGGCTTGCTGGGGTCACCGATGGGGATGTCAGCCCAGCAGAAACCCCGAATTGTGTGATATTTGTGCTTGGAGCAAGTGAGGTGCTTGCTATGGCATGCCTGGGATTTGTGTGCCTTCCCCCATCCTGCCCGTCCTTCCCCAGGAGCTCCCAGGACTGGAGAAGGGGGGGCTGCATGCCTCCACATGCGCATGGTGCTGCCAGGACCTCCAGGTTACCCTGCAGCAAAGCAAAGTCCATGCTGCATGCTTCAAACCCCATAATCTGCTACTTACAGGGCCAGGGACCCAGCTGCAAACCCTGCCCACCGGCACATCCCAGCAGCACCGAGGATCACAGGGCCATGCGGTCCCTGCTGCGGCGTGGAGCCCGGAGGGGACAGGGACTGCCCTGGGCCAGTGCCCGGCACCCTCACCCACAGGATGGGGTGCTGTAAGCCCTTGTGGCACAGGGATCCCCAACCTCCAGGACAACTGCTGTGTCTCCTGAGGGCTAGAGAGCCATTGCCTCGGTCATTGCAGCTGGGGCTGCTTTCCCACCCCCCCAGCAGCACCCACCCGCGGCACACCACCAGTCCCACCCAGGGCATCTCGCCCTGATGATTTTCCCTTCTTCTGCAAACAAACTACTTACTCCGGCCATCCTTTGGGCAAACTGCTCCAGCTGTGAGCTGATGGGGAGGGTGAGCACCAGGCAGCCCCAGTTACACTCTCCCCTTAAATCCCTTTTGGGAGCGCCCTGGCCCTCCCCCCGCTGACCACCGCTCCGGGCTGCACAATGGGAAATCTATGCAGAAATATTTTTCCCACAACGCCTTCCAAATCATACACACAAGCCTGCAATGCTAATAGGCTCAGAGGCATTATTGAGGGACTTTAACATTTCAAAGTTGCCTGTGCAGGTGGAAGGGGAAACCCCTTCTCTCTGTCCCCACTCCCTCACACCAGGACCCTCATCTCAATCTGTGGAGCAGGTTTTGGAGGAAAACCAGGCAGAGAGCAGCAGAAACATGGCCAGATCAGGACGTAGGGGTGCATGTACCTACAGCTGTGACTGTACCCAGGCTGAGCTGTCCCTGGGGAACACAGAGGGAGGTGAGCAGGTCCAAGAATTCACTGCAGCAGCAAGGCAGAGGAGCATAGACCCAGCTCCATGGGATGTTTGCAGCAGCACATCCAGCTGTAGCTCCCAGAAGCAAAGTCCTGAGGCTGCCTGCACTTCCCCAGTATTTGGGCACCAAGACCCCAGTTGCTGCCCACGCCCTGTGACAGCCCCATTGCATAGAGACAGCAGCCTTAGATGAAGAAGAGAAGTACCCAATCAGCCCAAGGGCAGCTTGTAGCAGAGCAGGCAGCAGCACCATCCATCACTGACCCATCTAGCCTTGACCTGGGAGCAGGGCTGGGGCTGCAGCTCTCAGCTCAAGCAACACCTGCCCCATCCCAGGCTCCCCAGCTCCTGTCCTGGCTGGGGGGTTGTAAGGGTGCAACAAGACCTGGGTGCTCCTCCATGGGGAATGAAATAGGCACCAGGAATGACCCTGACTCACCACCTCCCTCCTGGGGTGCAGCCCACAAGGGCTAAGCAGCAGAGTGCAATCAGGGGCTGGGGTAAGTCCAGGGCTGTGCTTAAATGGGGGCCCAGGGCTGGGGGGCGGCAGGCCAGGTGAGGCTGCTCAGCCCCAGTAAGGCATATAAGTGCCCTCAGGCCCCAGCACAGCTGTTCTGTAGGATTGCTCCTAGCAGAGAGAGGATGTGGGGGAAGCTATGGTGTGACCTGACTGGTCTTCAGCACTCTGGGAGAAGAGGACCAAGTCTGGGCTCTGAGGAGAGGTTAGGAGCTGGTATTTTGGGCTGAGGAACTAACTTTGATTTTATTGTAGATAGTGCTCAGGCTGAGCCTGCTTACAGCATTTGGGGACAAAAACCTCTTAGTCTGTGATGTAGTTAAGCACATCCTCCAGCCTTCAGCTTGCAAGGAGCAGAGAAAGGGGACATCAGCCATGCAGGAACAAAGCAAGTAAGGATCTAGAGCACCTAAAGCATAGGTGTGTGCTCTAACCACAAGGCTGCTCTGCCCTGGCTGTATGGGGCAGCCCCGTGTCCCCAGTGCACCCTGTGAGATGCTGGGCTAGCACCTCTGGGGCAGGGGGACTCAGCACACCATGACACAACCAGGGGCACTGGGAGGAGAGCAGGGCTGTTGTCCTGCATTGCAGCGCAGGGTGAACAAAGATGTGCTTGTCACCCACGCCATCTCACATGAGCGAGGTCTCCAGACACCAACGCCAGCCCAAGGGAACATTGCCTGAGGGAACAACAGGGCATGAAGGAGCAGCCGGTGTTAGCTGACCATGAGGGTCTCCCCCTCCCAGGGTGCCTCCAGTCCCCTGAGGGGGGCACAGCCCTGTGGCTGCATGTCACACTCAGCCTGGGGTCCCTGCTGTCCAGGAGCACCATCTCCCAGGACAGGCAGGGCTGAGCAGCTCAGCTGCCTTGCAGCCCCAGAGAGATGCTCTAGCCAGTGGGTACCACCAGGGCTTGGATGCCTGAAAGGTTACGTGCCAGCAGCCTTCAACATCTCGAGGGGGCCCTTGGTTTTACCTGCTCCTGCTGGCACCAGCCAGAGCACAGACACCACTGCCCATGGCTCCTGGGGAGCCCCGCCAGCTCCTCCAGCCCTTCTGCAGCTTCTGTGCTGGCTGGGGCAAAGGGTGGTGGTAAAGAAGGAGTGGAGTTAACCTGGGCGAGGCAGGGAAGGAAACGGCCTCGGGGCACTGCAGGCAGTGGTACAGCCTGCCAGGAGCATCTCTGAGAGACTCAGCCTGCATCGCCACCCACGGCTGTGCTGCAAGGTCTTCTCGTCCCTGTGTCTGCAGCATGGGAGGGAAGGCTGGGGGGGACAATGAGCTGCCTCTCCCCAGCTCCCTGTGCCAGCTCGGCTCCTGCCCCACGGATGCTCCTTGCAGAGCCCTGGTCAGCACCTTCCCCCTTAAGCAGGTCATGGGGGGGCCAGCCCCCGGCCCCCTTGGCTTTTGCAGGGAGAGTCAGGGATGGACGTTTCCCAGCCATGACCAGGGAAGGGGGTGATTTGGTGTGGGCAGAGGTGATCGGCGACAGGACCAGCCCAGGAGGCAGCGGGGTACCCTGCACCCCGGCGTTCACCAGGAAACCGGGGCGGGGGGGACGGAAGAGGGTGAAATTTCCGCAGTTGAAGTGCAATCACCGTTTTCGCCTTGCACTGCACGCATCACCGCTGCTGGCACCCAGCCCCTGCACACACTGGTGGGGCTTTTCTGCCGAGTGACCCCCTTTCCCACACCCCGGCAGGGGCAGGGTGCTTCTGCGGGCGGCGTCAGGTCCCCCTGCACTGTGGGCACCCAAAACCAAGGGGCTGAGGTCTGGCATGGCGGTGAGGGTGGGAGTGCGGCCCTGACCCTGGTGCCACCACAGGCGGGGACTGGAGGGCTCGTGAGCAGTGACGTCTCGCCGGGAGGAAACAGCTGCACGCCAAGGACGAGCGCACGGCCACAAGCACACACCGAGTGCGCCGGCGGCCGGCTGTTCCTGCGAGCGTGCCCAGCCAGACCTCGGTGCCGCTCGTAAGTGTGCGCTGGCGTGCGGGGGGACCATGCTGGCAGGCGAGGGGACAGTGCTGGTGTGCAAAGCCACCGTGGTGGTGTGCAAGGGGAGGAAAGCCCTGGCTGGGCGGTGAGCCGTGCAAGCGGAGGCTCCCTCCAAGGGGTGGCTGCAGGGGGGATCCTTGTTTTCTTTTTCTTTTTATGAAAAATCCTTCCTTTGTAACAAAAGCCTGAGGGGCTGCGCAGCCGGCGGGTGCTTTTTCAGGCAGGCGCAGGCATTGCTGCGGGGCCCATGGGTGTGTCCGGGCCGGGATGCGCCTTTGTCCGCGCCCCGGCGCTGCGGCGGCCGCGGAAACGCCCGTCCCTCCACGCAGGGGTCCGAGCCGGGCTCGGTGGGGAGGATCCCCCTGGTTCGATACCCACCGAGTTTTGCACAGGCAAACGCACCGTACAACACCCCAGAGGGACGGAGCTCTAGAAGGGCAGGGGGACTTTTCAGCGCTGGGGTGGGGCAGGGGACTTTGGGGACCTCCCTTGCCACGCAGGGAGGACGGATGCTGCTTTTTTTTAATCCGGTGAAGCTCCCTTTCCGCTCTGCGGGCAGGACGACGGGCGGCGGGGTGCTGAGTGTGCTGTGGCCTTTGCCGTGTGCGTACGTGCCAGGAGAGCCCCGCCAGGCAGCAGGCTGCAAAAATAGCTGCCGGGCTCCTGGGGTGAAACCCCTGAGCCCAAAGCCGTGGTGGGGTCATGGAGAGGCCGGCGGGGTGCACGCTGCTGGGGGGACAGAGGCTTTTTGGCAAGAGCGGGTCATTCTGCAAAGGGGACGGGCTGTGCACATCATTTA